GGGGCATTAATTAACTTTTGCTTAAGAATATTGAAAGTTTCTTCTTGTTTCTCTCCCCATTTGAAACCAACATTTTTCTTGAGCACTTCATTGAGAGGTGCTGCCAATGCGCTAATATCCTTCAGAAATATCCTATAGAAATTTGCTAAATCATGGAAATTTCTCACTTTAGTCACAGACTTAGGTGTAGGCCATTCTTGAATAGCCCTAACCTTTTCCTCATCCATTTGTATTCCTTTTAAACTTACAACAAAACCAAGAAACACAACATGGTTAGTACAAAAGATACATTTGTCGAGATTGGTATACAATTGTTCTTCTCTAAGCACACATAAGACAAATTTTAAATGATCAACATGCAAATCAAGTGAAATCCTATAGATAAGAATATCACCAAAGTACACCACAACAAATTTTTCTATGAATTCTCTCAATACATGGTTCATTAATCTCATGAAAGTGCTAAGAGCATTAGTTAAGGACAAAAGACATAACCAACCATTCATATAAACCATATTTTGTTTTGAAAGCAGTTTTTCATTCATCCCCTTCTCTAATCCTAATTTGATTGTATCCACTTTTAAAACCAATTTTAGAGAAGTAACAACACCATGCAATTCATCAAGCAAATTATCAAGCTTACGTATAGGATGTCTATATTTAATGGTGATGTTATTAAGGGCTCTACAATCAAAACACATGCGTCAGGTCCCATTTTTTTTAGGGACTAAATTATTGGGACAACACAAGGACTAATGTTATCTCTTACCCAACCTTTGCTAATGAGTTCATCCACTTGTCTTTGAATCTCTTTGATTTCTTGTGAATTGCTTTTATAGGCTGAGTTGACCTATTGGGCAATGAAGCTCCCAAAATGAGATCAATTTAATACTCAATTCCCCTTAAAGGTGGTAGCCCACTTGACACACTTATTGGAAACACATCTTGAAAATCCTGCAAAAGAGATTTAACACTAGAAGGCAATTCAAAATCATCAAATGTATTAGTGGTCAAAATCTGATTTTTGCAAATCAAGACGTATAGGGGTTGTTTAGCAAGAAGCAACCTCTTGACATCATTTTTTGTGGCTAAATAGTTCTCCCTCACTTCAGGTGTTTCACTCTTCTTTTAATCATTATTTTTCCTCTCAAGTGTTTCACTAACGCTTTCTCTTTCTTTGTTCTCTTAAAGAAGTTTTTCTCTCATTTTTTTTATCCTCACACACTTTTTGTGGACTCAAAGGTTTGAGCACAATCTTCTTGTCTTGGTGCATGAAATAGATCTTGTTAGTGAACCCGTTATGATTGAATCTTTTATCAAATTGTCTCGGTCTCTCCAAAAGTAAATGGCTAACCTCCATAGGAACAACATCACAAAACACATTGTCATTGTATTTTCCAATGGAAATGTCCACTTTAACTTGTTGTCTCACTTGCACCTCTCCATCCTTACTAAGTCATTGAAGTTTATATGACCTAGGATGTGGTTTGGTAGCTAAATTTAACTTTGACGTTAATCTAGCACTAGCCACATTGGTGCAACTACCTCCATCCATGATCCCCATACACATTTTGCCATTGATTAAACATCTAGTGTAGAAGATATTTTCTCTTTGGCTTTCTTCCATAGGCTTCAATTGGCTACCAAGTAATCATATAATCATCAATAAATCCCCCTTTGGAGTCTCCTCCTCATCTGCCATCACAATAAAAAGATCAAAGGCAACACTAAAAAAAATATTGTAACATCACCACACTCAAGTATATCATAAAATTATGGCTTTTTCTTTAATGAAAATACTCTTGCCTTTTACCACTCAGATTCTCCTTACATTCTAAGGTAATTTAAGAGATTATGGCCACAACAAAGAACAATCCTCCAATATATATGCACGGTAAGGCTAGGTAGACAAGAAAGGCTAACAAATCCAAAAACAAAGAGGTAAAATAAAAAATTAGTGAACAAGAGAATTAGCAACAATCATTCAAGATCACCTATATATTATCTTATAACAAATTTTTCAAAAGCATGAATCATTCAGCCCAAATTTTATTTTTTTTATCACTTTCAACCAAATTATAAAATGCTGTAACTTTTATTTTTCACAAGGGCCTAATTTTATTTTATTTTTGCAATAATTCAGCACAATCACAAATAATATGAACAAAATAAGGTAATCACTTGGTAAAAAGAGAATGAAGGAAATATGTTACCAATTTGACGTTCAAACCCTTAAACCAAAGCTCTGAATACCAAATGATATGAACCTCATTTGCACAAAGGCTGACTTAGGATCTCTAGGGTTAGAGCCTTGTAGGAAATTTACGAAATTAGTAAGAAGGTGAATAAGAAAGAGGTGAAAATTTCAGGGTTGGGCAGAATTGAGTTTTCTGAGTTATGGTGAAGAAAGAACAAGAGGTGGATGTGAAAAGTCAAAGGAAAGAATCACTCTTCCCAAGGGAGGCAACTCACAAAGGATGAGAAAGTCCTTTGATACAGCAAAGGATTCTTGAATCACTCTCACTAAGATAAAAGAGTCAAACTCTAATATTTCTAAATAAAACTCAACTTGTATATTTGATAAAAATGGTTTAGCTTATATAGAAGCTTTTCCATTAGAGTTACAAATATTCAATAAAAGAAAATAAATGTTAATAATAATCCATTAATCTAGGAATTGGAAACTGCTTAATGGAGGTAAATAAATGTCAATAATGATCCATTAATCTAGGAATTGAAAACTACCTAATGGAGGCAAATAAATGCTAATAATGATCAATTAACCTAGGAATTGAAAACTACTTAATGACTTATTGTAATTGAAATTACAGCAACCAAAAATCAATTAGTTATACACCCTCTTGGTCTCCCAAAGGATGATGCCTAAATTTTCAATTAGATCCTTATTACAACTTGAAACAAAACCAAACTAAAGCTCGTTAATTGATTAATCCAAAATATAATTTGGTCAGCCAATTTTACAATGGATTGGGCAATTATTTAAACAAACTTAAATACTTAAACAAAGTGACACATTAGTCCCCTCCATTTAGGTCATGATGCAATTCACAACTTTGGTTTTTTCTTCTTGAAATGTGGGTTTGTATTCAAATAATATGGACAACACTTGTTAAAGAGCTTCATTTGTTTCCCTTGCTCTAGCCCTTGTCATAGGTCATTCAAGTCCTTCAAGTGGATCCTTACCCTTGCTCATGGTCATGTCCCAATCATCTTCTAACATGGACAAATTATTTTTTCTAAATAAGATATGTCTAAAATTATATTTTTCTATGCATGATATGAGATGAAACAACCCAAACTTTTAGCAAAACTATCTACTTTAAGGCCTACTACAAATGTCCTGGTTAGATGAGATTCTATTGGAGAAATGGACTCAAGCTTATGATGGAGGGAAGCGATATGGATATATGACAACAAATCTTGTTAAGTATATGAATTTTGTTCTCAAAGGAGCACGAGTTTTACCTATATCTGCATTAGTTAAAACAACTTTTGAAAGAATTAAATCTTGGTTTGTGGAAAGAGACATAAAAGTAAAGTACATGTTACGAGCTGGACATGAGTACCCAGAACATATTACTACACTGCTTAACGGAAATGAACAACGTGTTCAAATGTGTCATGTTCAAAGGTACAATCGATATAATTATGAGTTCGACGTACAAGACCAATCCAATCCATAGCATCGTCGAAGATCGATAAGCTATACAGTCCGATTAAATAAATGATGGTGTGATTGAGGAAAATTTCAAACTCTTCGACTCCCTAGTTCTCATGTTATTTTTGTATATTCTTCTTGTCATTTACAAAGCATTCATAAGGCGTATGGATTTCAATTTCATACGGTTCAAAATATAAATTACTGGTTTACTTATACAGGTTCAAATTTTTGTTATGATCCTAATATGTGTCGAGACACATCAGGAAGACCTACAACTAATTGGATTCAAAATGAAATGGATGTACAAGTTGGAAATAAACAAAAAAAAATGTTCCTTCTATCGAAATGAATGACATAATCATGCAAACTATTCATTTCGACAATAAAATTATATTTTTTTAAATAATATAATATTTTAATATAAATATAATGAATTAAATTTAATTTTATCTAAATAATTTTGTTTTTTATTAAATTAATAATTTAATTGAAAATAATTATTTAATAAATCATATATTTTAAAAAATCCTATTTAAAAAAAAATTGTAACAAACTCATGCAAAGTAGCACGAGTTCAATAAGAGAACATATATGCATAACTCTCCTACCAAACATGTTTTTTTTTTTACTACTAAAATCGTGCTTGAAAACACGATTTTAGTAAAAAAATGTGTTTTCAAGTACAATTTAACACCCCAAATTCATCTCACCTAACATAATTTAGCCTATTTTGATAAAATTTAAAATTTTTGACCCGTGTAGTAAAATAAAAAAAAAAAATTAACCCCTTCCGTAAAAAAAAAAAAAAAGCAAGATAAAATATTTTTTTAATCGTACTCGTATCAAAATTTAACTGGAGTTTATCCCTAAAAAAAAAATCAAATTCACGTGTATTTTATATCAATGAAAAACTAAATTAAAAGTTAAAAAAAAGTAGGAGATGTTATTTGCGCATTACTGTTCATCACATGTCATCTATTTAATTACGTAATTTGTCCTTCTTGCAATTTACTAAAAAATAAAATTTCGATGGGCTTATTAAAAAATTGTGATCCTTTTTGTTTTCAATATTATATAATATCTATATATTTCGTTATTTTAAAATCAATAAAGCGGGCAACAAGAAGTATTTGAAGTCTAACCCGGTTACTTTTCCTTGAAACGCACGGAACCAATGTTTTCAAATGGATACTGAGTTACTAAAAATTTGTGGCAAATGGAAGAGATTCACATGTAAAGTAATAACCGAAGATCCTCAAAATATGGAACCAAGTTCTTGCATGGTACAAAAAATGTAGAAAATGAAAAAGAATAATAGCTACAAATCTGGACAGAAGCAACAGCATATATATGATGCCCAATGCCATTTTCTCTTCTCTCTCTCATCTTCTGTGTCCATTTCAGCCAGAGAGTTCAAACCATTTCCACCTTCTCCTCTCACAACTTCATCCGCAGCTTCACTCAATGGACTCAGCAGAGGTAAGTGCAGCAGAGGGATACCTCTGCCTGTCATCTCAGCAAATATTTCTTCAAAACACTTTCTCTCTCGAGACTCATTGTGAGTAACTTCCCTCCCATGCTCTCCTCCGGCGTCTTCAGCAATAGAGTCCTCTTCACCCTCACTCACTTCTCCTTCGGTGTCTTCAGCAGCAGAGTCCTCTGCAGGCTTCTCTGATACTCTTGAACTGCTATTGATTTCACCAGTTATGTCAGCGAGTGATAAACCATCCCGTTGTAGCCTTCCAAGAACCCAATTTTTGGCAAAGCGAGCAAAATAATTCCGCTCTATCTTATATCTCAAACCATAGATAGGTTCTCCAGTTTTCTTATCTTCAGACACGAAATCGAAAGTACAATCTTCAATACTCTCGCCATCTGTAAACTCCTCGCTGTCGTCCCTCTGAACACCACCAAACCGGACAAATCCACATGATGTAGGGAGGATCTCTCCTTCTACCAATTGACTCTCCTCATCATCATAATCTTTCAATGGATCAGATGAGGGTATGCTTAAAGAATTTTGTGGTGTTATTCCCTCCTGGTATTTAAAATCTTCACACTCGTTTTGAGGCAGTGCCATAACAACAGCTCTATAATCACACACAGGACCTGTAGACACGTTAACGTTTCCTTCTCCCATTTCCTGCAACGTCTTCACATCACCATAAGTAGCGAACTCTCTTCCATGTGCAGACTCTACTTGAACATCAGAGAACCACAGAGAAGAAAAAATAATAAGCCACAAAAATATTAAACACAAGAATAATTGCAAGTACAAAGTTCATTTTTTAATTCCTCTAGCATATAATGGATACTTGTTTCTCAATAGGAGTAATCATGACAATTACATATATATGAAGTTCTTGAGCGTATCAGCAGTAGCATATCGATCTCTAAAAGATATTTAATGAAATCTTATATCACATATTTCCACATCATTAGCCAAGTTGAAGCTATCTTGCAAAGTTTTCATACTTCCAGGACTTGGTGCAGTTTCTGAAAAGTTTGCAGTTGCATCTAGAAACTGTTAGCAAATTTTGGGTCATGTATATATATGATACATATTTGAATGTGTTAGGGTCATTATTTATTAAGCCAAATAATAAAGTGATCTGAATAAATTAAAGTTTTGGCTAAAGGCATATGTCATGAAAATAATATTGTGTAGAGACCATAAAGTAATTTCTAATTTGATGAGGGGCCAAATTGGAAATACTAAAACTTAAGTAATTAACCTAATTTTGGTTATATAAAGGGTCATGGTCCCCTTCTGAGAGCACACAGGAAAATACATTTTACAGTCCCGTTCTTTTCTTTCTATCCCCATCAAGAGAGAAAATCAATAGGGAAATACAGGTGCTCTTCAGGTGGAAGACCATAAGATCAAATCAAAGGTGCTCTACAAAGAATATCATCATTATGGATAATTCAGGTACGCTTTCGCATTTAGTTCATAACATGTTTACTGTATGGGATTATATATGTATGTTTGATCATAAGGAAGAAGATCATATTCAATTACAGTTTAAACTAACAATTGGTATCAGAGCCACCCATACATTATTCATGTTTGTGTTAGAAAATATTTAAGAATTGAGATTAATTTACAGAACCCTTAATCCCTAATTAAAAACCCCAAAATTGAGAATCCTAGGGTTTCTTAAAATCCGATTCTCTGTTCCGTGTGTGACATTATCTGGAGACGGCACAGCTGTTGGCTAATTCAGATAGAGAGAGATTGAGAGTAGTAAAATGTGTTTCCCTCCACTTTCCAATCTGTCAGAGTCCCACAGCGCACAAATAAAATTCCGATAGCCAAAGAAAAGTAAAGAATAATAAGCTGTGCACAGAGAAGACACCACGATTCGTGATGCGGAACGCAGAGTGAGAGAGGGTTTTGATTTTTCAAGAATCGCCTTCGGAGTCAGAGACGGAGTTATTGACTCCCAATTCTTCCAAACTCTTATCCATTACCCCCGGTTCTAGGGTTTTGAAAGGTCCTCTCATGGATAATTCAGATCTGGAAGCGCCTTCGTGACGCCGGCTTCGACGAGGAATCGATTAAGCACAAGGACAAGTCATTACCTGCAAAGCCGCGGTGGCCTGGGAAAACCCCTCTATCATTTCATGGGAACCTCCACATTTAGTCAATACACTGTTGTTCATGATGTTAGTGTAGCGAAGATTGACCCCAAAGCTCCTTTGGAGAAAGTTTGTCTTCTTGGATGCGGTGTTCCAACTGGGCTTGGAGATGTCTGGAACATTGCAAAGGTGGAACCGAGGTCAATTGTTGCTATTTTTGGCCTTGGAACTGTTGGGCTTGCTGCAGCAGAGGGTGCAAAAGCTGCTGGTGCATCACGTATTATTGGCATAGATATTGATAGCAAGAAGTTTGAACGAATTTTTGGTTTTATTCACTTTTCTACACAACCTCGCTAAAGCCTTCATGTTATTAATACATTATTTCTTTTATTTATTGGTCTTACATTACTTGCAAGCAAAGAACTTTGTGTTGGCAAAATTTGGCCCAACAAGAATTAATTTGCCTTCTTAATTTTAAATAAATAATTATTAAATATTTGGTTTTGTTATATAAATAAAATAATATTCAAATTTTTTTTGGTAGTTTAATATTTTTTTGAGCAAATTGAGTCAAGAAGTTACCAAAGTAACCTCTCTTGAATTGGGCAGTTCATGAAAAATATTGAATGTTAGTGTTTTGTGTATATTCATGCGAGTATTAGTCGGCCCAAAGGAAGATTAATATTTGGCCGAATTGCACACACTTGTAATGATAAACATGTGATAATTATAAGAGTTTGCTTTGTCGATGATAAATCAATCCAAAGACTGGTTTGTTGTTGGACGTGCTTTATTGTCAATGTTTGATTATTACAACAAGATACCTCTAGCAGTTAATATTATTGTCCAAAGACTTGATATTGATGGTGCATTGGGTGTCTTGAGATGAGTTAAACCATTATTTGAATATATATTTTATTTATAATTATTTATTTTTTTATAATGTGAGCATAATTAATTTATTTCTTTTGTTCTAATCTAGCTACAATTGCTTCTGTATCTGCCAATTTAAATTATGTTCCGATCCTCAAAAGTATATTTCCTACTTTGGTCTGTTCTGAAGTCAATTTAGCGTCAGTACCTAGTAACACTTGGTGGTTAGACTCAGGTGCAACTACTAACATCAGTGTTTCTATAAAGGGTTGCCTAAGCTACCGGAAGCCAATTGATTCTGAAAGATGGATATATGTTGGAGATGGCAAATCGGTAGAGGTGGAAGCCATAGGGCATTTTAAATTGTTATTGAGTACTGGTTTTTATTTGGATTTGAAAGACACTTTTGTTGTGCCGTCATTTAGACGGAATTTGGTTTCAGTTTCTTATCTGGACAAATTAGGTTATTTGTGTTCATTTGGAAACAATAAGTTCAGTTTGTCTTTTAATTCAGATATTATTGGAACTGGTTCACTTTTGCCTTATGATAATCTGTATTTACTTGATACCGTGACCACCTATAATGAAACCCTTAATACAGAATCACGGGGTACTAAACGTAAAATTGATGATACTCACTCAGGAGCATTATGGCACAGGCGCTTAGGTCACATCTCTAAAAATAGAATTGAACGACTTGTGTCAACTGGAATCTTAGAGTCCATTGACTTCACAAACTTTGATGTTTGTATTGAATGCATTAAGGGCAAACAGACCAAAGCGAAAAGATTAGGTGCATATAGAGCTACAGACGTCTTAGAGTTGATACATACGGACATTTGTGGGCCATTTCCTACACCTTCGTGGAATGGTCAACAATACTTTATATCATTCATAGACGATTACTCACGATATGCATACTTATTCCTTATACATGAAAAGTCACAATCTCTAGACGTGTTCAAAACATTTAAAGCTGAAGTTGAAAATCAACTCAATAAAAGAATTAAGTCTGTCAGATCTGATCGTGGTGGTGAGTACTATGGCAGATTTGACGGGTCAGGTGAACAACGTCCAGGACCTTTTGCCAGGTACCTAGAGGAGTGTGGAATTATCCCACAGTATACCATGTCGGGATCACCTAGCATGAATGGTGTAGCTGAAAGACGAAATCGAACTCTTAAAGATATGGTCAGGAGTATGATTTGTCATTCCACCTTACCAGAGTCACTCTGGGGAGAGGCACTAAAGACAGCAACTTATATTCTGAACAGAGTACCAACTAAAGCAGCGACCAAAACACCTTATGAGCTTTGGACTGGGCGACAACCTAGTCTGAAGCATTTCCATGTGTGGGGATGTCCAGCTGAGGCAAGGCCTTATTGTTAGGATCGAGCGCTTACCTCTAGGCCAAAAGCTATAGCCATTAGTCAGAGCGCAACTCTTTTTACTTTAACAGCCCAAGCGCCACGATTCAATTGTGACTCGGCCCACCTGACCTTCGTCACAGGACAATTGATGCTACCTGCAACAATCTCCCCCTCAGCAATTGTCCTACAAGGTATCCCACTCTTGGATTGTGACTTGGCCCACCCGGCCTCGCCACGGGACAATTGTGCAACCCGCAACAATCTCCCCTCAACAATTGCCCACCAGGAATCGAACTCGTGACCTTGGCTCGATACCAATTGTTAGGATTGAGCGCTTACCACTAGGCCAAAAGCTATAGCCATTAGTCAGAGCGCAACTCTTTTTACTTTAACAGCCCAAGCGCCACGATTCAATTGTGACTCGGCCCACCTGACCTTCGTCACAGGACAATTGGTGCTACCTGCAACAATCTCCCCCTCAGCAATTGTCCTACAAGGTATCCCACTCTTGGATTGTGACTTGGCCCACCCGGCCTCTGCCACGGGACAATTGTGCAACCTGCAACAATCTCCCCCTCAACAATTGCCCACCAGGAATCGAACTCGTGACCTTGGCTCTGATACCAATTTTTAGGAACAAGACAATAATAAAGGAAAGAATGAAGGAGAGAAAAATAAACGACACAAGAATTTTTAACGTGGTTCGGCTAAAATATGTATGCCTACGTCCACGACTACACTAGGAAGTAATTTTTATTTCTGTGTGTATCTCAAACTTTACATAGGGTTGCTTATATAACAAAATAGAGAACCTCATCTCACAATCCTAATCGATGTGGGACTAAATCAAGCATCATAATACTAACAATTCTCCCACTTGGAGTTTGATTTACGTTACCACCTAGTGTAGTGCCTTCATCATCAATTTGCTCGAAGGCCGCTTGAGGCAATGCAAAGCCTCAACTTAGTTGTTGTAACAGCCTTGGTCAACATATCGACGAGATTCTCTCGCACCTGGAATCTTCAACAAACTCAAGTCTCCATCATTTATCGTGTTTCGATAAAATGATACTTCAATTCAATGTGCTTACATCTCGGAATGAAGGATTGGATTTTTAGCAAGACAAATAGCACTTTGATCTGTCACTAAACAACGGAGAACCATCTTGTTCTCTTCCTAATTCTTTTAGAAGGTTCTTCAACCATATCATCTCCTTCGCCGCTTCCGAGATAGCTACATACTCGCTTCGTGGTTGAGAGAGAGACCCTTCCTTGAAGTTTAGACTTCCAACCGATAGCTGTACCACCCAATGTAAAAATATAACCTCGTTGTGCTCTTTCTACCGTCAAGATCACCTCCCAAGTCTCGCATCGAAAACCCCGTAAAATGAGATTACTTCTCTTGAAAGACAAATGCATCTTTGAAGTGCCTTTCAAATATCCGAATATCCACTTCACTCCTTCCCAATGCTCCTTTCCGGGATTTGATAGAAATCTGCTCACAACTCCCACTCGCATGTGCTATGTCCGGTCCGGTGCAAACCATAGCATACATCAAGCTTCCTACCTGCAGATGCATATGGCACTTTAGACATGTGACTTTCTTCTTCTTCTGTTTGAGAAGATTGCCTCTTTGAAAACTTTAAGTGAGTTCCCAAAGGTGTATTCCTGGTTTTAGCATTCCCAACATTGAATCTCGCTAAGCAATTTTTCTATATATTTTTCTTGAGATAAGTTCAAAATACCTTTATCTCTATCTCGGGAGATTCTCATACCAAGAATTTGCTTGGCTGGACCAAGATCCTTCATTTCAAAGCTCTCTCGACAATTGTTTCTTCAACTTGTCAATTTCTCGCCATATTAGCTCCAACAATCAACATGTCGTCAACATATAAGGCAAGAATGATATAGCTATCAACATATTTCTTCACATAACAACAGTGATCTTCTTCACATCTCGCGAAATCCCGAGTTTCTCATAAACTCATTAAACTTCTTGTACCATTGTCTCGGCGCTTGTTTTAATCCGTACAAACTTTTATGAAGCTTGCATACAAGATTTTCTCCGCCTTGTACTTCAAAACCTTTTGGCCGTGTCATAAAAATTTCCTCTTCAAGATCCCCATGTAAGAATGCAGCTTTGACATCTAACTCGCTCCAAATGAAGATTTTCTGCAGCCTACTATACTCAAGATAACTCGATGGTAGTCATCTTGACAACAGGAGAGAAAATTTCTGTGAAGTCAATTCCTTGTCTTTGTTGGAACCCTTTCACTACGAGTCTAGCCTTATATCTTTTGCTCGCCATCCGGTTCTTCTTTCAACCTATAGACCCACCTGTTTTGCAAAACTTTCTTTCCTTCCGGTAGCTTGGTTAAAGACCATGTTTTATTCTTCTGAAGGGACTTTATCTCATCTTCCATTGCTAGCTCCCACTTAATAGATTCATCTCCCCGCATAGCCTCAAGCAAAATGCTCTCGGCTCACCAAGATCGATCAACAACAAATAATGCAATGAAGGGGAATACCTTTGTGGTGCTACAATTGTTCTCGCTAGATCTTTTAACCAAGATTTCGGGAGTTGCCGACTCTACTATTTGTTCAGGTTCTGTCTCGTGCTCCGACATAGGCTCTACTTGTATATTCTGCCTTCGGTTGACTACATCACTTTCTGAAATTTCTTCTAATGATACTTGCTCTAGCTGTTTATTTACATTTGCAGATTCTGCAATCCTGTCTCTATAGAACATTGTTGCAGGTAGCATCAATTGTCCTGTGACGAAGGTCAGGTGGACCGAGTCACAATTGAATCGTGGCGCTTGGGCTGTTAAAGTAAAAAGAGTTGCGCTCTGACTAATGGCTATAGCTTTTGGCCTAGAGGTAAGCGCTCGATCCTAAAAATTGGTATCAGAGCCAAGGTCACGAGTTCGATTCCTGGTGGGCAATTGTTGATGGGGAGATTGTTGCAGGTTGCACAATTGTCCCGTGGCAGAGGCCGGGTGGGCCAAGTCACAATCCAAGAGTGGGATACCTTGTAGGACAATTGCTGAGGGGGAGATTGTTGCAGGTAGCATCAATTGTCCTGTGACGAAGGTCAGGTGGACCGAGTCACAA